TGATGGTGATCCACGTCCGGACCAGGTCAGGACGGCCAAATGCCGGAGATTTATGACGCGCTGAGGTTGCTCCTGCTCCCCATCCTCTTCTCTGACTCGGATGATCCCATCTCGGGGCATCGGTACCGCCAGTAAAATGAAGAACGATATGGTCCATAGCCACGTCTTCCTCGATGCTATGATGCGGATGATATATCCGGTAACCGGATTTGTAACGCATAAAATAGTTTCACAATAAAAATTAGCCCAATCTTCGATAATTCCCAAAATTGTAATCCTTGAATTCTTGCCCGTAAATTTATGTAGCGCGATATCAACGGACGGTAGTACGGTCCCACGTGATAAAGACGAAAGTTGATCCTTTCCAGTGTGGTGACGGAAAATAACGTTTGAATATATTTTTTCAGAAAATGGATGGCAACAAGGACGGGGTGGTGACGCTTTCCGAATTTCTGGAAGCGTGTCGGGCTGATCCTGACATATCGGAAAGTATGGCAGCCCTGGATACGGCCTTCTGACACTCGGCGCGTCCTCGTTACACACCCTGGACCTGAAGGAGTCCTTGCTGCCGATTAATCGCTCAATCACGCGCTTCCCGGACCCGGGAAGGTTTTCGGGGGTCATGACCCCGCGATGAGGATCTAAGGCTGACATCGTGACGTCACTCACGAGAACGAAGTTCCTCCTCGCGAAATCGCAGGAAGAAATCGGCGGGTGACGAAGGTGGTAAAGAATCGTACGAGACTTTGTCTTGTAAAGGTTATCACGTGTGGGAGATTTATGATAAGAAAAAAAGATATGGGGTCGTGTGGCAAATTTTTCTTTTTTGAAATTTGCCAATTTGCCATCTCGCGTTATGTAAATCGACGGTGCCAAAGCATTACGCGTACTATCTTAGTTCAATGATACTAGAGATAAGATGGATGAGAGATAACGAGAATCACACATGATAAGGAAACAGTGTCATACAGAATCACCTGTATCCTCGTACGTTACTACTGTACGTACACGAACGATTATGATATTAATATATGCAGAATGGAATTGTTCTTTTTGTCATAATCGAGATCTTTGTCGAGTGGGAGGGGATGAAAAAATTTTTGAAATTTAGATGGGCTTGTCATTCCAAATTACGTGTGGGAGAAGTGAAAGAAATAATTAACAAATCATTTTTAAAAATAACACGTGTGAACGGATCTGACGCAAGGTCCGGTGGGGGGAGGGGGGGTGGTTTGTATTGTTTTTGAATTTTTTTTTTTTGAAATTATACGAAAATATACACGTACGAGAACCACTACTTATCTTAGCGTCTTAAGAGTGCGAATAATTAAAAGGTTCGTTAACGAACGCGTGTATAAGGAGGATAGCAGGAGAGGAATGCACTACTGTAGCGTAATGGTAAAAAAACATGAAACACGCTGTAGATTCTAGAGCGAGCGTGACAATTAGATGTGTTGTTTCTAGTGTAAACTTAAATAAACAAAGTTATTTATTTTTGTGACCGGTAACGATAAACTCGTTAAGTAATAGTTTTAATTGATGCGCTGCTAAACAGATCGAATTTAACGGCGGACTCGCACGTTCGGTAGATGCGCGCGTGACTGTATACAGAGGATAGATTTATCAAAGTTCAAATTTGTGAGAGAAAAAAGAATCATTAACCAAAAATATTATTCATTTACATCACTGCCTAATTGTCGATCAGCAGCAACGCGAGGATCACGACGTATATACATTAATTACATTGCATTTGGGATAACTGTGAGATATACAAGATGATAATGATAAACCAAATTGATTGAAATTACTTAAAAATGAAAAAAAAAAAAAAAAAGAAAAAAATGAAAAGACCTATACCTAAGCAGATAATCAGTATAGACGCAGATTTGATTTGATCTTTGGCAGCGCATATTATAGAGCCTAAGGTTTAACGTGTAAATTGAGATAAACAACGTACGTTATCTCATATCAACTCGATCACTACCGCAAGTCTTTGACGTTACTTCGTAAATGTATAAAAGAGACAAGAAATGAAGAAAAAAAAAAAAATAACAATATTGTCTAAATAATCTAAATCACGCAAGAGGGTGTGTACGATAGCGGGTATCGGGACGAGAGGAAGATAGGGAGTTGCAGCCAGTGATAAGGGTAAGGAGATAAGATGAAATCTCGACGCAAGATACATAAAACCCGTGAAAAAACGCACTCTCTCAATTCTTTAAACGGTAAAACTTGTCCCCTAATCATAAAGTTTAGATTTAAAGAAGATAAAAGAAAAATTCTATAGCGACATCCGTATTACTATATAATACATAGTATCTGTACTGAATCATTTCTTGTCTTAGCGCAGCATCACTATATGGTACATGCTAGTTATCTATGCTACTCTCACTTATCTAAGAGCGCTCTCAACTCTGCGTACTAACTTAGGCATCCTAGGTGAATGATCGACTATATTAAAAAATAGACAAAATTTGAGTCTGGTCCGGAAGTGAATATTTGGAGTTTAGGTTTTTGCTTTTTTTTTTTTTCAAAATTTCGATGAACGATCGAGCTTGACGATTTTTTAGTATCCGGTAAATTTATACTTTATCAATTTACCCTGATTTTTGCGCCAATAGAAATGCATCGTCTGTCCGTTGTGTACCTAGCTTAATATCTGCTTATAGTACTGAAGCTTATATCTGGTATTGAAAATGTATTGAAAGTTTAGTAGGAAAATTGGTTATTTCGAACTCTTTACTATCTCACTTTTTTTCACTCTCAAGTCATACTCTGTTTCTTCAATGACAGACACAATTACGTCACTGGTCGCACTGATAGCTGGATATCTATGATAGTATCTTATCCACGCGCTACTCTGAAATAAAAATAAAAATCAAAACAAAATTCTCAGTCGGTTCTATACTCGTATAAGATATGTATATCCTTACTATATTATCATCCTATTTTTAGATATGTAGATAGCGATGCTATATAACTAACGGACTATCTTCTATCTAGATGAAATAATACCGTATCTCATCTTTACTCGTTAGCTAGGCATCACGTTAGGCAGATCTGCAAAGGCAATCCTCGTCGAGAGTGAAATGTAACATGAGAGCGGGAATTAAGAAAATTACTGGAAAGCGAAAAGATAATTTCAAAGTAATTGCAAAAAAAAAAGGTTGCGCGCTTTTCCTTTTCTTCGGCCGTTTTGGCGTAACCAACGATTTCCAGACAATTTTCGGGTCATCATTCGAGTTTCAAAGGAATGGCTGGGCTGTGCTTGTAATGGCTGACAGATGGTCCAATCCTAGACTATATGTATGATTGAAAAATAATAAGAGAACTTGAATAATTGAATTCATACGGCGTCTGAGATTAATAGCTATGTAAAAAGATGCAAGAGACACATCGAACAATTTTTTTTATTACAACTTTCCCTCAGATGACTTTTTTCTGATTGTCCCTTTCACGTTTCCAGCTTGGATTCACTGTTCAACGAAGGCTACGCGAATGACTTTTATTTGGGTCCATTCTCCTCTGTCAACATTCTATTATTGTCAGATGCTGTACGGCTAAAAACAGTTAAATAGATGAATTAATATATGATGTTAAATATGAAGGATTTTAAAGTTAAATATTCACATGGTGATATATTTTCAGTGTAAATCAAGTGTATATGTATGTATAAATATGAATGTTATCGCGGTAAGACTACGTGTCTCGTAGTTTTAAAATAACCCGTCTAAGATGTCGCGACAGTAGCCGTGATTTTACCTACAAAATGAGAAACGGGATTGAACTAAGAGTTTAAGGCAATCGTCTCTCAATCTCGGATGAGACTTATTGACTCATTATTTTTTTCTCTCGGAGGTCCCGATGAGAAAGCCGGTGAAATTTGCGAATCTCGGCAAAAATTGGACACAAGTGTGTAAAATAATCGTTTTAATGTTTATTGTTAAATGTTAGTGCAGATAAGAAACAAATCTGTTTAAGAAGCCTATCCCACGTGTCCCGTGTCTCTGTTGAGAGCCATTTTGTCCTTGTGTCAAAGTTTTCGATTGGCAATTCCGTAATGAATACGAAATGGTGCACCGTCATGCCATTTGCCATTATGCGGGTGTTTGCCGAACTAATGTCAAGACGTATCATATTCTTTTACGTTAATTAAGAGACGCTCATTTTTACGGCCTGGCAAATTAATGTTTAAACTAAAAAAAAAAGAGGAAAAAATGTGCATTCCAAAGAAGGTTCGTTCGGAATTCTTTATACAGCAAATCCGAGCGCCAGTGCGATTCTAGAAAGATCATCACTTAGAATAACTTTTAATCGGAACGCTATATAGAAATTGAAGATAAAGCAAAGAGCAATTGAGTAGAGAAAATTAATAAAAGTTTCATCAATTAATGAAAATTGTCACAACATCACTTACTCAGTATACGCTGCACTTTAAAAAGTGCAGTCGCGTGAAACAATAAGGAGAAGACTTGTGAGCAAGCGACTAGCGTAACATTTTTCTTTGAATCATGTAAAAATAAACATTTGGCCCAAACGTGTAAATTGACTGCCTCGTCGCTTGTCTACAACGAAAATCACGTTACTGGATTCTCGACACTACCTTAAAGGGGTTAGCTTCTGTTCTGTAATCTGTAACGCGTCAAAGTGTAGTTTTATCATATCAACGTAACGACATTCAAAAGGTTAACTTTTACATTAGGTTGATGAGCTCGAAGACCCTCGAGGAATTGCCTACCGTCTTGGAATTGCTGGCATAATTATTCGGTGTAATTAGCGTGATGTTATTGGTCATGAAATTGCTGCGTTCTAAGTCACCTTAGTTTATTCATGCCCAAGCCTAGGCCATTATGATAATTACCATTACTGATTAATTATTGTATTATATCTGGGAGTATGTAACTATTTTATAAATAAATAAATTACTAACGTTAACAATCTCTTATTCTCGTATTGTTATTTTTATTCTATAAAGCGAAACTTTATAATTGACGCTCAACTTTAGAGTGTATTGATTTTATTGATTTGGTAATTATAAACAGAAATGGGACAATAGTACACTGTGACTCATAACGTATAGTTTTACTTGTCCTATTAGTTTATAGCAATAGACTTTTATTTATATCTAATATTCATAAAATACTATCGATAGCGAAAAACTTCACCGTGCTGATTCTAGTCATTCCTACCGTTTACGTTACGTAAAAAAAATTAATGGCTCCCATCATTGATTCATTTCTCATAGCTTGCTCCAAAGGCCGTTTATTTGAAACAGTATGTGGCGCGTTAACCAAACTCCTCGCGGATTAAATATATTTATTCTCATTTATCTAGTTTGTTATGTTAATGGCAGCGATCACTTACATATAATTTGTCCCTCGACCACGCCGTCCGAAGACGACATCTTTATTGGAAAGGATCCATTGGAGTGTAGGATTTTTCAGGATATCAGGTGCGAGGAATCTGGACTGTTGTCTGGTAAGAGGACTGAGTCGTAATAAGGAGATAGTGGATCTGTAACATGCACAAAAATAATATTGTACGCAGTGAATCTATACACAGTTACGAAAGGGTCTTTGACTCTTCTAATTGCTGACCGATATAATCCCAGTATCTTCTTCGTATTTTGTCATACTTTTCAGACAGCTCTTTGCATAACTGAAACGCAGAATAAATTTGGTTTATTACATGCGATGAATTTATTGCTGCTGGCATTGATGTATTAAAAAATTATACCATTAGTGCATGATCAATGTGATATATTGATTCGGGTGGCTCATTTTCATTTTGCCTCTCTTGAGAAATGTCTATTATACAGGCTAGTAAGTAATTGGTTCGGCAGCCTTTATCAAACAGTTCTTTGCACTTTTTTAACACCTTTTCATTGTGTCCTAAACCTCCGTTAGTGTCGTGCATCAATATACTAAAATTTAATGATACTGGTTGTTATGACAGTGTTGTAACAAAATAGATATATTATAGAATAGTTATTGCTTACCCTCTCAAATAATTCCAGGCACTTTCGTTTCCTTTGACCAACGTTATTTTGTTTAATGCAAAATCAACTTCCTGTTCTATTACATCTGATTCAAATTTTGTAGTATTGCTTAACACGAAGTATCGTTGATTCCATGCTGAATTGTTTCTAACATCTTCCTGCAGTAATCGTTCAACGTATGTCAATTCCATGTCAAAGAGACTGCAAAAAAAAAATTCTCATAAAGTCATATGTACAATAATGTAAAATTATTATCTAACTTATGATTATCTTTACTAACTTGAAAGTCTTCATACACCATTGACGATGCTGCCAAGCATGATAATTTTTTGCATCCTTTCTCAGAATGTCTTCAGTAAATGCTAATTCTTCACTGGCATCCTGAAGCCATTCGACAATTACTCTCCTATGATGCCAAACTTGATAGTTTTTGGAATTATGCTTGATAACTACATCCACATATGTTAATTCTTTTTTTAAATCTTTTCCTAAAGCCTTTAAAATCTCCCTTCGATATTGCCATACTGTGTAATTTGCAGGATTCAAGGAGACACAATCTACAGTAAGTGCCAAGGCTCTTTCTGACTTTTCCCCAGATTTCAGGATGGCCCGAAAGTAATCATACACATCCTTAACTATAAAATATAAAGATTACATTCATAGACATGATCAATGACATTTAATCTGTAAAATATGTAAGAGGTCTTATACCCTATGATGGTATAGATCAGTACAAAGACAAAACTTCAACAACGAAATAATATAAAAATGAATGAGAATTGTGATTTCAGGTTATAATAACTTACACTTGTTTGTATAAGCAATAGCCACAATTGGATGAGGACCATCGTCTTGTGGCAAAGGTGTTACGTCCTTCCATTCTTCCTTATCTTTGTACGGGATCCACGGATCTCTGATTTCTTCACCGCCGTTTACTTCATCGTCAGAACTGTCCGACATTTTCAAATTGTGCTGCTGCGAATAAATAACTAAAACCGATAGCAATTGACACTTATGGCGCAAAGTGCGCTCTGCCGGCATCCTCCCGGCGCAGAATCCTACTTACACAAATTTACAACTATTTGAAGCATAAAGAACGTAATAAAGTTTAATTAAATACTGCATAATGGTAAGAATTTACTATTTTAACAAAAACATCATACCTTGAAACTTGTAAAAGACTTATAACAGTCACACAAGCCAATCCACTGGCTAATAAGTAGTAGCCCGCGAAATAAGATATTTAAAAAATACAGTGTACCATCTTAATATTCCCTAGAAATAGGTCTTTCTTATATTGGCAACAGTAATAATCGAAACTCGTATGAGATTCTCGAAGAAACGTTGAAAACTTTGAAAAACGCCGCGTAGCCAACAAGTTCGCATTTTGTATAATCGTAAG